GGAAGCAGGGCCCAGTGAAGTTTCTCAGGCTCCCTTGTTGAAAGATGAGTGGCCCTATCTACTTTCATCTTGCTCTCCCTAATTTTTAGTCCTAGCCTTTGGTTGAACTTGGGGTCACTCTGAAGCATGCTCTGTATACAAGAGCTGTAAGTCTTTGAGGGGGCCTCTCAAAATTTTGGTAGGCTTTTGAATATAATGTTTATGGGGCAATTTGCAGCTCAGCTGTTTCCAAATGAAATTTACGTATTGCAGAGTTACATTATTCAACAGATGTAACATTGGCTGCTTGGGTTAAGAAAATTCAATGCTATGTTACAATTCCACTAGAGAGAAAATAATACTTGTGAACAAAATAGTTCAAAAATGGAATATATTTAATTCTAAACATATTCCTTCCTAAAGATTGGACCAGTAGCTTGTTCATTTTTTCAGCAATTTCAATGGACCAGAAATTACCTAAGCACTGGACAGGGACAATGATGATTAAGACATACCAATTTATTTATTCAATAACTATCTATTGAGAGTCTACTGTATGTTGGAGTCTTTTTTAAAAGCTGGAGATAGAGCAGTGAACAAGACAAAGTCCTTGTCCTCATGGAGTTCACATTCAAGTGTGGAATGAAAGTGGTAAGCAAATAAATAGGAGTATAATGCCAGTAGTGTGAAATGTTTCAGGTGGGTAGCAGGGTAAGTGGTTAAAGAGTGACTCTGTGTGTGTTGGTGTTCTTGCGTGTGGTTGTATTAAGTAATGTGGTCAGTTGAAGCTGAAGAGGCTCTGCGGGAACAGTGTCAGGCTGGGGGAAGGACCAATGTGAAGTCTTCAAGGAAAGTGGGATATCAGTGTGTTTGAGGCATACCGAGATGCTTGGTATGGCTTGAGCAGAATAACTGAAGAGGAGAGTTAGGAGATGGGGTTAGAGAGATGACAGGAACCAAGTCATGGAGGGCCTTGTAGACCATGATGAATGATGGGGTCTGAGTGTGAAGGGATTGGAGGAATTGGGCTGTGAATAGCCCTTGTGCCAGCTGTGTGGAGAACTGACTAAAGAGGGGCAAAGTTGGAAGCAGGGAAGTGAGAGGTGATTATAGTAGTTTAGATGAGACATGGTGGTGATTTGGACAAGAGTGAAGCAATGTAGGTGGTGAGAAGTGAAGGGGTATTTCAAATGTTGCACTGCTCAGTATCAGGAAGGAATAATAATGAGTGGTTTGAATGGAGAGGGTGGGGGTATTGTCATAGGAAGAAAGGAGTCAAAGATAATACTGAAGTTTTTGTTCTAAGCAACTGGGTGCAAGACAGTTGTCATGTACTTGTATGGGGAAGTCTAGGGGAGGACTAGAGTAGGGAAGTTAAAGAATTTTGTTTTAACAGGTTAAATTGGAGATGCCTATTAGATATTCAGAGGGACAGTTGGATATATGAGGCTGGGTCTCAGGGGGAGTATTGGGACCAGAGATATAAATGTGGGGGCCATTGATATATAAATAATAATTAAAGCCATGAGACTAAACACAACCAACTTGGGTATGAGTGTAAACTGAGAAGAGAACTGAGGGAGTGAACACTGAGGTTTACCAACATATGTTGGTTGGGAAGAGACAGAGTAGGCAGCAGAGGATATGGAGAGAGATTTGCCAGTAAAGGGAATAAAAGCCAGGAGAAACCGTTATCCCAGAAACCACGCAAAGGAACAGTAATAAGCCGTAAAAAAGCCTCCAAGCCATCCCATAAGATGAGGGCTGAGAACTGACATGGGATTTGGCAAGACACAACCTTCTCCCTGAGCTCAGAGCACAGTGGGAGTGGGAAAAACAAGAAAACAAATAAATTGCTCTATATGGAGGAAGCTATCTTCTAGAAATGTAAAGAAATTTCTGGAGATGGGTTGAAGATGAGGCAAGGACCTCTCCTTATAGAGTCAAGGGGGCTTGGAGGGGAAGGATGCTTGGAGGAAAGATGTCTGCAGGAGATGTACTTTTGGGCAGAAGGAAAAGAACTAAGATTCATAAAATTTCAATATTTTTTCTAGCTGGTTCTTATTTATTTATTTTTTTTAGAATCACTCATTCAAAACCGACATTTCCCCTCCCAGTTTAATATCCCTCTACTATTACTGCATGCATATTTGTCAATTACCAATACACGTGATTACTATAAGGGCATTACATGCATTTCATCACTTCCTACTCCATTTGGAGGATACTCTTAGAATTGTATTTTTCTTTGTTGTAGTCTTTATCTTTTTATTTTGGGGGGCGCAGAGGAACAGGGAGAGAGAGAATCTCAAGTAGGCTCCATGCACAGTGTGGAGCTTGATGTGGCGCTTGATCTCACAACTCTGAGATCATGACCTGATCCAAAAATCAAGAGTTGGACGCTTAACTGACTAAGCCACTCAGGCACCCCTGTAGTCTTTATCTTTTAATTACATTTTAATTTCCTTTCATGACTGTGTGCAAACATAGAAAACTTATTCTTAAGAATAGCTGCTATGTACCTAATACTGACCATGTGTGAGGCACTGTTCTAAGAACTTCACATGTATTAATTTATTTGTTCTTACAAACACTCCTGATACTTCTGTTGTTGTTGTTCTTCTTCTTCTTCTTCTTTTTGTGTGTGATAACTGAGGGACAGAAAGATTAAGTAACTTATTCAAGGCCACACAGAGGTGGCAGTGCCAGTATTGGGACTAAACTCTCTGGCTTCAGAGCCCACCATCTTGAGCAATATGTCAAGTATGCTTCCATCCTTATTTTTGTTATAGCTCTACTTTCCTGGGATGGGCAGCTGTTCAGGAAAAATCTTCAAGGGATAGTCTCCTGTAGACTTGGGCTGCAATTTCCTAAAGACTCAGGAATTCAGTTGCTGCTTGTGATTTCAGAATGTGCCAGTAGGACCCAGGGACTGGACACTGGATACTTGTCCACATTGGGGAAGAGAGGGAAAACCATAGAGTAGCCAGAATCTTTAAGGTGCTTTGATTCTCAAATAGCAGTAATATATACACAATTGAAATATAAGATAACTCCATCCTAATGGAATCTAGGTGGTAGTTCAGCCTTTGTTTGATCTCAGATATTTTTTATAGGCTGACTGAATCCCTGAGGATGGTTTTATCCTTTTTCTTTTATACTAGGCTGATAAGTGGTTCAACCAATAGATGGGGATCAGGATACATCATTTCCAAAAGCACTTGAGGCCTCTCCCTTTAGTAAATTTTGGGCCCCACCTTTGATCTAAAAGTTTTTGAAATTAGGTAGCAGCCAGTTTTCCTCTCCTGGCAGAAAGAGGGTGTAGAATAAATAACCTTTGCTAAGATATTTCCATGTCAAGTATCTTAGTAACTTAAATTCCCAGACTTCTTAATCTTATTAGTTTTTTTTTTTTTTTTTCCTCTCAGAGTGAAAATTTTCTGTTCTCTTTATTCTGTTCTCATTTAAATGTTCTTCTTTGGGCACAGTCTATTATATTTTCAGAAAAGCTTAGAGCCAGACTTAAAATTTGCTCTTAATTTTTACAAATATTAAAAAAAAAAAACAACCTTCTGGGAAGTGGATACTATTTTCACTGTGATATGGTGGTACTCTCCCAATCTGCTATGTAATATTGTCATACAACATGTAACTGTAGGAAAAGGAGGGGACTTAGGTGATTGTTTTGCTCTGGAAAAGAAGCTACTTCCTAACAGAGGGAGGATTTCAAATGGCCACATAGCAAAGCCAACATTCACACAGGTTTCCTGTGGGCCACTTCCCCTTTGCTGAACCTGACCCAAAGCCAAGGTGAAGGAAGCGAAAATTTTCTCTTATGAAATCTCAAATTTCTGATAACTCACCAAGTTGATCACTCTGTTAAAAAAAGTTATAAAATTAGGTTACTATAAACTTGAAGAATATCATGAACTTGTTTTTGAGGAACAATAAGATTTGCTTTGGAAATTGAGAGAAAAAGGAAGAATGAAAATGGAAAAATTGATGGGGCATCTGGGTGGCTCAGTTGGTGAAGCATCTGCCTTTGGCTGAAGTCATGATCCCAGGGTCCTGGGATCCAGAACCCCCTTAGCTCCCTGCTTAGTGGGGAGTCTGTCTCTCCCTCTGCTCCTCTCCCTCTGCCCTCTCCCTGCTTGTGCTCTTTCGCTCTCACTCTCTCAAATAAATAAGATCTTTAAAAAAAAAATGGACAAATTGAGATAAACTATAACATTGACAAGTACACCTACAAACTTTAGAACACTCAAAAAACAAAAGTAACTGAAAGGAATAAGTTGTGACTACTGTATTTTAACTGTCATGCCTTAAAATACTTTATATCCAATTTAATCATCTTCTGGATATACTTTAAAATGATTCAAATTTTATTTTTATCTTTATTTTTACTTTAAAAACACATTAATTAAAAATGTTTCTTTGAATTCAAGATGCAGACTGCCTAATAGATACTTAAAACCTTTAGTACTCCCCCCACCCCAACTACAGCCCCAGGAAAATAAAAGTACAGTAGTACAGCCACTGATTTTTATAGAAAAATGAGTGTTCTAACGTTTGTTGATCTTACCATTTCATTTATGAATGGCATGAGATAAATAGATGAAAAGCAGCAAAGATACTTCTTTCACTAGTTGTGTAGTGAGTGGTGCTTTTTAAAAATTGTGTTGTAGTTACACTACATTTTAGGATGTTCCCATAAAAAAGTTACGAATCTTCCCAAGAACGTTGAGTGAGATCTCTGTCCCCAAAGCCTGGAGGGCAGTTCAGGGTATTTCCCCAGTGTTAGTCATTTGATTTAAGGAGAAAAAAATGTGAGGATATCAATGGACGGACAGATTGTCCTAAACGTTCCAGCAGAGACCTTGGCTGTGTGTGTTCTGCTCTGTGACCTGGCAGCTGCCAGGCCCGTACCCGAGACCGAGACGGCTGCCCTGAGAACTAAAGCTGGGGTGTGGCCGCCTGCAGCGCGCACCCGGTCCCCCGCCGGGTTCTGCTCCTTCCCTTACCTGCATAGTGGTCAAACACAGTGGGCACGTACTCCTCTGGGAAAGCGTCGTTGGCGTAGCTCATCAGCAGGCAGGTTTTCCCCACGGCGCCGTCCCCCACCACCACACACTTCAGCATCTTCTTCTCCTCCGTGCCCCCGCAGCCACAGCTGCTGTCACCTCCCTCTGTGCAGCTCATCCGGGCGGCTCCAGCTGCTGGGACCGGGCAGTTGCTGTGGCTTCTCCTGCTTCTCCCCAAGCCCATGGAGCGCGGGAAGCGAGTGAGCAGCGGGCTCGAGATCACTCTGCCTTCCTTGGGGTGCCTGGGGTCACAGGGACCTGTCCGAGGCAGCTGGCACATGCCCTCATGCTTACCATCCTGGTCAAGAAAGGTAGCACACATTTGGGAGAACGATTAAAAGCATCTGTCCCCTTCCCCCTCTAGTCTGAGTTAAGAAACCCTCATTTTTCTCTGAATTCTAGGGGCTTCCTGGCAGTCTAGAAATTTCAACAGCCCAAGGGTTTTGCTGTGCCCTTCCCCTCTCCAGCCTGGCTGAAGACTATGGAATTCTGCTAAATCTTCCCCCTTTTCCACTTCACATCTAACATGGAGGGAAGCTGGGCTATTTAATGGAGTTTTCCCTTGCTTCCTCCAGCTTGCTGAGTATCAGGAAATCATGGGTTTCCTGCTGCATTCCATATTAGGATCAGTGGGCTGGGGAAGGCTGCAACAATGGGAGCTGTGTGTGTGTGTGTGTGTGTGTGTGTGTGTGTATGTTTGTACTTGTGGGGAACGCTGCCAGGGCATGGAGTGGGAAAACACTAGGGGTCCCACTGCAGACTCAAGCTGTCAGACTTCCTGTTTCATCTGCTGCTGGGGAGGCTGTTTGCCTGGGGCTGGCTGAGGAGAAGCTGACGACAGGATGGAAACTGGGGAGTGCTGTCTGCCACAGAAACCAGAGGGAATGGTTTAAGTGAGCAGAGAGAACCAGCCGTTGTAGGATAACATATGACATCATCCCTCCCTGAGTCACCAGTGAAAAGCTCTGCGAAGTAAAAATGGACAGTTCTTCACATACTTAAATGAGAAACTTTAGGCAATTCATTCAGGCGAGGGAGAGAGAGAGAGAGACAGGAAAACCTTGCAGCATTACATTGTTTTGAAGGAATACACTCTATAGATCATAAGTTTAACACATGCGATCAGGTTTATGAGCTGCCACATTTGGGCACAACGCTCAGACGTGTACTGCAGACATAAGCATCTTTGTGGTCGGAGCACATAAGAAATCAACCAGCCTTGGGACGTTTGCATCTTCTTATTAGCGAATAAACACATTTGTGCTTGGCTCACAGTCTTGGAAATGAAAGGATGTGGGATGGCTGCATTGGTTTGCTTCAGGTCCCCTAATGCTGCCTTTGCTTGGATGGTTCCCTTTGTGGTTTACTCCTATCCCCTTGGGTCAGCCTGGTCCTCTGCCATTACTAAGGGAGCCACTGGCAGCTAATTTATTTATCTCTTGGTTTGCTCAAAATGAAGTTCCTCTGAAGCCCTGTGTTTGAGCAATGTACTTGGTCTTGGAGAAGAAGTGGAACCCTGCAAATGATTTTGACGAATGGATCAAGACTTTTTTGATGAGGGAGTCTCAGTTAATTTGAGATTTGTGAGCACTTATTTTCAAGCATTTAGATGACCCAATTGATTTGAGGAGGTTTGTGTGTGTGTGTGTGTGTGTGTGTGTGTGTGGAGGAGATGGGGGAGATGTCTGTTTTAATAGGTGGCTAACAATAATATACATAATATAATAATATACGACAATATAGGATATTAGTATTATGTATATATATATATAAAATGCTACATGTATATACATACATACATACATACATACATACGTAACATATATATGCTACAGTGTAACAGATAGAACCCCAGATTTATTCTGTTTTAGATTCCAGTAACATTCGCCATTGGGCTTGGTATCCCGATATTTTTTGCCTAGGCTGTGTTGCCATAACAAACCAGTCCCGAAGCACAATTATTTTAAGTAACACATGTATTTCTTGCTCACATTATTGTCCATTTTGCGTATTTTTGTCTCCTTCATTCAGGGATCTGGGATGGTGGAGCATCCGCAATGAGAACACGATGACCTCTGCAGCAGAGGAAGAAATTAATGTGGTCAAGTGGCATTGGTTCCTGAAGCATCCTTCTCAGGGTGACATTTCCTCCTGCATTTGTTGGCCAGAGCAAGTCACATACCCATGCAAGCTAGGTTCAACAAGATCAGAAGTATAGTCCCACCATGTGTTGGGAAGGAGGGAACTAACTATTGGTGAACAGCCTGAACAATTTAGAGGTAGTTCAGATCACAGAGAGAGTTTAGTTAGTTGAGATTACGTTACCAGTACGAAAGTTGTGAATTCTTTTTTTTTTTTTTTTAAAGATTTTATTTATTTATTTGACACAGAGAGAGATCACAAGTAGGCAGGAGGCAGGCAGAGGGAGAGGAGGAAGCAGGCTCCCCGCTGAGCAGAGAGCCCGAGGCGGGGCTCCATCCCAGGACCCCGAGATCATGACCTGAGCCGAAGGCAGAGGCTTTAACCCACTGAGCCACCCAGGCGCCCCGAAAGTTGTGAATTCTTTATGGTTCATGTCATTCAGGAGCATTTGAAGGCACTCTGACTGCATGTGATCAAGATAATTTTATTTTCATAGAGTCTACCAGAAATACTGGGAATATGTGATAATAAGATTGCAACTTGAAAACTTATGTTTTTCTTCTAGAAAAAACCCTCAAGTGTGAAGGTGGCACAAATCTGGGCAGGTAGAGTGGTTGACAATGTCAGGAACCCCAAATTGAAGATGAACAAGACCACTTTGAGCACAGTGATATGATAGGTGTTTGGCAGAACTTGGAAGAGGTTCTGCCTTTGACCTTGTCTCTGAGGTCAGGCAGTAAATATGGCATGGAATGAATATTCCGTTCAAATATGGAGTTCTCCAGCAATGGCTGGCCCCACCTGCACTCCTCCACCACAAATACACTTGAGCCCACTGAACACTTGGCCTAAGAAAAAACTGAGAAATTGGATTGGGTGAAATTTAGCTACATCTGTGTCTAACCTAAATCGTGTGTCATCACATACAGATATTTAAGTCCATGCCAGTTGGTATGTGACTACAAATTGGGACAAGAAGAAGAGACCGGAAGCATCCAGTGTGGTCCCTGACCTCTAACTCAGAGGACTGATATATTTGCCAGATCAGATTGTATGCAAAGATGGGCATGGCAGTTCAAGAAGGTTGGCTCCATCTCTGAAAATAAACTTGTTTCATCACTGTTTACTGCTTCCCCCTGCCAGACTGAATATTTATAAGAAAAATATGCTTAAGACATTCTATGGAAAATGGCAAAAGAGTTAAGATTTCAATAGCCTTCTGATTCTGTGAATCACATTGTCCATGTGAGAATAAATCTTTTTAAAAATTACAAGATGGCTCAAGCCAGAGTAACAAAATTTAAAGAAAAAAAAAGTGAAGACGGTTCAGCCTTATTTTTATAGGTCTCTGAGTCCATTGAACTGTGACTGCTTCCTTGTCCAGGTAGAATAGTCAAGAATGTGCTTTAATTCCAAAGATTTATAGTTGGGAATTTAGAAGTAGTATGAAAACCATGTGCTGAACTAGTCTCAACCAGATGCCTGTATTTTAAGGATCTTGGGCCATTTGAATGATCGAGTGGTGGTTTTGTAGCCATTAATTATTGGTTTACCTCGAGCACCAAGTTTATACAAACTTACCAGTACGTGGTGAAATCTTGTTGGGTGATATTTCCTGCTTTTTTCTGAGATCTCAATTCCTTGGCTCCCTCCTGTCCTCTGAGCTCTGGTTTCACACGAATTTTCCCAAATGCTAAGAGAGCATTTTTGTATAAAATTCTGACTTATCTGATTGCTTTCAGTTTTAGTATGACTTTATTAAAGAGCCCAGATTTTTCTCCTCTATTTTTTTTTTCTTTTGTGCTTGAAACTAGAAGTTGCACAGGGAAATAAGGCAATTGAGTCAGATACTCTGATTCTGGATTAGCCTCTCCATAGGAGAATGTTTTGAATTCAGTCTTAGGAATGTGGGATGTGCTGTGGTTATGGTGATTCCAAGATGTTCAGCCCAGTCCCGAGTCACCCCCTGTTCCATAGGAAGCCCTCTTTGGGGCTAAAGCAGAAGTCAGGCCTCTAGTGGTGGGGGGGAGGTGGGAGACCGAAAGGGGAAGCATAGTTGTAGGTGTTCTGACCCAAATCTCCCACTGGACCTAACCCTTAAGATCAGTTGGGACATTGCTAAAACTTAACAGGCTGTCCTAGGACTGGCCTGGTCTGGAATGGCCGCTCCCCAAGAGGGGTGAGTCATTATGATCACCATCACACATGTATCTGTGTTTTTTTAATCTGTCAGACTACCTGTACTCAGCCTCTGACTATTGCCCATGTTACAATCATATGTCATATGATACGGTGTGATAAGATATCATAATCATTTATCAGCCACATTTTCTTGGATATGATCTTTTTATAGTTCTTGAAATGGCTTCCTTTTTCCCTGCTTGGAAGATTTTTTCTTTCTTTGCCGAATCTCTTAATTCTGATAGAAGTAGTTACTTGTGAATCTCAGGCAGATGGGGACTTCTTTCTGTCTAAGAAAGAAGAGTCTGATTTGGCCAATAATGGTAAAGGGGTGTGTAGGCATGTGTGTGTGTGTGTGTGTGTGTGTGTTCCACTATTGCATAATGTAACTAACCAAAGCTTTGTCTCAGGCTTGTGGATAGTCTGACTATTAAAAACATTTTTTTGGTTCCCCTCTGTAGAAGCCCAGAGATTAGGGATCTTTTAAGTTTCCTCTATCTGGAAGAGATAGCTAATAGTTTGGGAAGATTTTGGATTGATTCCTGATTTTCCAGGTTGAAGAGGTATGTTTTGGAAGGCAGACAAGTTTGAGGTTGAGGGGGTGCTAAGTTGTTTTCTCCGTCAAGGCCATGGAGCAGGAATAGCTTTCAGAAATAGCCATCTTCCATCTTCGAGTCAAACAAAGATCTTTGATGATTATTTCAACCTGTTAGTGATATGGGCCCCAGATGCCTAAGGTCATTGATTTGGTCATTATCTGAGTGGGAAAGGATTAGTTTCACTGCCTCAGGCTGAACTTCTGTGGGCTCAGGGTCCTGCCACACCTTATTGCCCTTTTTACATGGGATAATCTATTGCAGAAAGTGAGAAAGACTGGTATAAGTCTCTACCTCTGCTAGAAAAACAATTCCAAATGTGCCCTATGCTTAGGATGCCTGATTGTTACATGAAAAATTGATACAAAGATTGAGGAGTTGAAGGGCAGGGGACATGGGACGTGGCTTGTATATAAGGAAGTGTTTTGGTTGTTGTGACCAGATTGAACCCACAAATCAATCTTCCTGAGAGCCTGCAGGTTACTGACCAGCTCCTTGTTGGTGAGACACTAAACGGCGAGGGAAATGCAACTCTACTCTGTGGACGTGATGTGTGTGATCACACTTCTTGAAGAAACCATTTGCTAATTAATTTGTGCCTAGAAATCACCTGCATCAGAATAAAGAGAGATATAAAGACTGCCAGTGCTTAAATGAGACTTCAGCTCTGATCTCAGATTTGGTGTTTATGCATGACAGGGACT